AGGACAGATGTCAGAGGTAGGTTCTTTACTCAGAGAGTAGTAAGGGCATGGAATGCCCTGCCTGCAAAAATAGTAGACTCGCCAACTTTAAGGGCATTTAAATGGTCATTGGATAAACATATGGATGATAAAGGATTAGTTTAGGTTAGATGGGCTTCAGGTTGGTTTCACAAGTCGGTGCAACATTGAGGGCCGAAGGGCCTGTACTGCGCTGTAATGTTCTATGTTCTATGTTCTATGTTCTAAAACATTCTTCTAGCAGAGTGTCGTGGGAATATAGAATGCATTGCCTGGGAGGATCGTTGAGGCAGGAAACCTCTTTGGATCACTTATCTAGCCCCCCTTCCCTTTTATATGACTATAAAATCTCTTCTTATTGTCCTTGATGCGCCTTGCAATTTCCTTTTAGCTGCTCTTATAAGTCATTTTGTGGAGAAGAGGTGGTGGTGGCAGTAAATACAATAGTAACATTTAATAGGCATCATGACAGATATATAAATAGGCAGGGAATAGAGGGATACGGACCACATAGAGGCAAAAGGTTCTTAGTTTAGAAATGTGTTGGCTCAGCCTTGGTGGGCTGAAGGGCTTGTTGTAGTACTGTACAGTTCTTTGTTCTTTTCCTTCTCACGCGTACAAACTGCTTCTGAATAGCATTAAATGTTTCTTCACCCTCCACTATTCCTCAGTCATTTTGCCTTTAAACAGAGCTCCCTGGTTTACTCTTGTTATGAAGTTGTGTAGGGTAATCATGAATTGGAAGGCAGGAAGCTAGAATTCTTTGTTAAAAAAAATGATAAGGGAGAAGAATATGTGGCTCCTTTAAGAGATAAAGTGCTTTTCTAAGCTTAGAGAGTTAACTCTAAGCAGCTGAAGGGGAACAACTAGTTCTGAAATGGAAACATGTATCAATTGGTTGTGTGATCGGAAACATAGAACATAGAACTGTACAGCACAGTACAGGCCCTTCGGCCCAAGATGTTATGCTGAAATTTTACCCTAAACCTAAGGTCTATCTAACCTTCACCCCTACCTTCCACTATCGTCCATATGCCTATCTAATTGCCGCTTAAATGCCCCTAATGAGGCTGACTCCACTACCCTCTCCGGCAATGCATTCCCGCCCCGACTACTCTCTGAGTAAAGAACCTACCTCTGACGTCTCCCCTATATCTACCTCCACTCACTTTAAAACTATGCCCCCTCGTAATAGTTACCTCCACCCTAGGAAAAAGTCTCTGACTATCCATTCTATCTATCATTTTGTACACCTCTATCAAATCACCTCTCACCTTTCATTGTTCTAAAGAGAAAAGCCCTAGCTCTCTCAACCTTTCCTCGTAAGACCTTCCCTCCATTCCAGGCAACATCCTGGTAAATCTCCTCTGCACCTTTTCCAATGCTTCCACATCTTTTCTGTAATGAGGCGACCAGAACTGGACACAATAGTCCAGATGTGGCCGAACCAGGGTTTTGTACAGCTGGAGCATAACTTCACGTCTCTTGAAATCAATCACTCTATTAATGAAAGTTAACACGCCATACGCCTTCTTAACAACTCTATCCACCTGGATGGCAGCTTTCAGGGAACTGTGGACATGAACCCCAAGATCCCTCTGCTCCTCCACACTGCCAAGAATCTTTCGGTTAACCCTATATTCTGCTTTCAAAACCTTAGGCTTGTTTTGATGTTATGGCAACCAGCTGGAATCAGCCAATTTATTTAAACCAAGCACTTAGCAATTGAAAGCCAATTGAATATAAATCTAATGGCTTTGACAACCTCGGGCCAATGCTATTATAAGAAAATTGATACGTCATCCATGGTATATAAGGAGAGGGTTTTGGAAATTGGTGTGACAGCAAAATGCCATCTGAGAAATAAGCATCTAGCTGTCACAAGAAATTGCTAAGCTTTCTAAGAAAGCACAATTTATCCATAAAAGTTACCATGGCACTCCTAGTTAAGAGCCCTCACAGAAGACTTCACAGAGAAAATATCCCTGACAGCTAGATCAGCAGAAGAAAGGCATTTATGATTGAGAACAGCAGAAGAAAGACGTGTAGGCTTTGAGAGACTAAGTTTTAATTTATTTTCTTATTACTTGCATCTATATAAGCGGGACATGAGTTTACTGGAACAGCATACCAGTAGAATTTAGTTAAGTTAGGGAATAGTTAGTAGTTAAGGGGGAATTGTTTGGTCTGTTATTAATTCTGTTAATTTGTTCACTGTTAGGGTTAAATAAATAAATCGTTACTTGTTACTTACAAAGTGAATATCAGTGATTTTCTTTCAATTAACCTCTCCTTCCTAACAGCCTGGACATCTCTGCCTCATTCCATTAAGGCCTTATTTCAATCAAAAATTCTCGTATCCGATCTTTGCTTGTCTATTACAAATGCTATATGAAATGCGATAATATTGTGATCACTACTGAGCAAATGCTCACTAATTATGTTAGGCTCATTAGTCATGACTGGATCAAAAATTGTTTGTTTCCTTGTCACATCCAAGACTTATTGCCATCAGGAACTATCCTCGACACACTCTAGAAGCTTAATACCTTTCTGGTAGGTGCTGGTCTGTCTCTCTCAGTCTATGATGTGGAATGCTAGTGTTGGACTGTAGCGGGCAAGCTCAGAAATCACATGACACCAGGTTATAGTCCAACAGTTTTTTGAAACCACAAGCTTTCGGAGCCTCAGTCCTTCTTCTGTGTCTGATACTGCCTCTCTCACTAACACCTGCAGAAGGACTGAGGCTCCAAAAGCTTGTGATTTTAAATAAACCTGTTGGACTATAACCTGGTGCCATGTGATTTATGATCCTCTCCCTGTTTATGTTAAGATTAAAATCCCCCATTAATACTACTCTGCCTTTGCTACATAGTTGCCTAATTTCAGCATTTGTACATTCTAATACTTCTGAGCTGCTACCAGGTGGTCTATATATGACGCTGTAGTGATAGTAACAAGGTCAGCAAGCTGGACAGCATAGAATATGATTTCCCTAATTGGGACTATTATTCTCTTCCAATCAGGGAGCACTGGCTGACATATAAAGAATGGATCATCAAAGATACTGACACTCTGGAACCTGACTCTGAATGAGACAGTACTAATGTCAAGAACTGTTCACGTGTAAATAAAGGGTGACTTGGTGATAGGATACCGGCCTCTGTGGAGTTATTTCAGTGACAATGGGAGTAAAGTATGATCCTGAAGAAACTCGCTTGCAACAGTCATATTTGAGTTTGGGTAAGTATTTCTTATATCATGCCTGTGTTTGGGAAGCTAAACTCATTTGACCCTGCCATCGAGGACTGGGCCCTGTATGTGGAAAAAATGTATTTTTTCCAGGCAAACGATATTGTGGCTGACAAAAGCAATGAGTAATTCTCCTGAGAGCCTGTGGAGCTTCAGCTGAGGCACTAGATACTAAAACACTTCAAGAATTGACAGATATAGTTAAGGAATATTCAATCCCAAGCCTCCTCTAATTCTGAGATGCTATCACTTTTACTTAGCAATTTGAGAATCTGTATTAGGATTTAGACAACTGGCAGAAGCCTGTGACTTTAAGTTCTGAGGAAGGGTCACCGGACCCGAAACGTTAACTCTGTTTTTTTCCCTTCACAGATGCTGCCAGACCTGCTGAGCTTTTCCAGGAACTTTGTTTTTGTTAATAATCCCAAACTAAACTAGCCCCACCTGCCCTGCTCCTGACTCACATCCCTCCCAACCTTTCTGATTCATGTACTTATCTAAGTGTCTTTTAAATTGAAGTTAAATCAAATTAAAGGAAGTTCTGAGGAAGGATCACCGGACCCAAAATGTTAACTCTTTTTATTCTTCACAGATGCTGCCAGACCTGCTGAGCTTTTCCAGCAACTTTGTTTTTGTTCCTGATTTACAGCATCCACAGTTCTTTCAGTTTTTATCCAGAATTTTCTGGTTCTTTTTTCTAAAAATTAAACAGTTTTGTATTTTCTGTAATCCCATCTAATTTCATATTATTTCTAATCTCTAACAGTCTATTACAGTCCTATGTTCTTTAATTCTACTTTGTGACACTATATTTTGGTGCCCAATCTCCTACCAAATTAATTTATACCATCTTCTTGCCCTACAGCACTGTTTAAAATGTCAGAAAACACACTGCTCCAGCTCTGTACTTTTCCCAAACTTCTGCCATCAAACCCCTTTCCCCCCAAAAAAAGACAGAGTCCTCACATACCACGCTGCCAACCTCCGCATCCAGCGTATCATCCTCTGCCATTTCCGCCACCTACAATCAGACCCCACCACCAAAGAGATATTTCCCTCCCCACACCTATCTGGTAGGGGCTCCGCGACTCTCTCGTCCACTCCACACTGCCCACCAACCCAACTATACCCAGTACTTTTCCTGCAACTGCAGGAAGTGCTACACCTACCCCTACCCCTCCCCTCTCACCTCCATCCGAGGCCCAAGACAAACTTTCCATATCCAACAAGAGTTCACCTGTACACCCTCCAACTTGCTCTACTGTATCTGTTGCTCCCAAAGTGGCCTTCTCTACATCGCTGAAAGCAAACGTAGACTCAGTGACAGATTTGCTGAACACCTGCGCTCCAAATGCTATAATCAACAACACCTTCCGGTCGCTAACCACTTTAACTCCCCCTCCCACTCCCTGGGTGACGTATCCATCCTGGGCCTCCTCTAGTGCCACAATGACGCAAACTGGAGGAACAACACCTCATATTCCATCTCGGGAGCCTACAGCCTGATGAATTCACCAGTTTCAAGATCTCCCCACCTCCTGCTTCATCCCATGCCCAATCCTGCCTCCTTGACCTGACACCACCTGTCCATCACCTTCCCCACCTTTCTGCCCCACCCTTCCCACTGACCAATCCCCACTACCCCTACTGCATCCAGCTATCACCATCCCACCTACCTTACCCCGCCATACCCCTGTTTCCTCTATTTATTTCACAGCTCCCTTCCCCAGTCCTGATGAAGCATCTAGGCCTGAAACATCACTCTCCTGCTCCTCTAATGCTGCCTGATCTGTTGTGTTTCTCCATTCCACCAGCGGAGGCAATGCCCTAGTGGTATTATCGCTGCACTGTTAATCCAGAGACCAGATAATGTTCTGGGGATCCAGGTTCAAATCCCACTACAACAGATGATGGAATTTGAATTCAATAAAATTCTGGAATTAAAAATCTAATGATGACCGTGAATCCATTGTCGATTGTCGGAAAAACCCATCTGGTTCACTAATGCCCTTAGGCAGAGAAACTGCCATTCTTACCTGGTTTGGCTTACATGTGACCCCAGACTCTCATCAATGTGGTTGACTCTTAACTGCCCTCTGGGCAATTAGGGATGGGTAATAAATGCTGCCTAGCCAGCGATGCCCTCAGCCCGTGAATGAATTTAAAAAAAGCTCCAACTGTATCAACTCTTGACTCCAGCATCTGCAGCTCTTGCTATCTTTCTGTCCGTAGAAACATGTCCATCTTGAACAGATCCATCCAGCCACATAGCTGATTCTAATACCCCAAAAATAAGAACCCCCCCACTTCCTGCACCATGTCTCTGATATACATTAACATACCAAAATCTTATCACTGCTTTATGTATGGCGCTCAGATTGATCATTACCTTTGGAATACTTTCTTTTTAACTTACTCCTCAGCTCCTTAAATTAAGTACTCAGTGCATGGATAATATTTGTTATGGCCGCTCAATCTTTTGCTTTGTAGCTGATAGAAAGACGTCTTGCTAGGCTGATCTCTCTTTGCATTGTCCTGTAGCCAGTTGGTCAGTTGACCAGTTATGGTTTCTATAATTAAGTCAATAATTAACTCAACTGTTGAACATGCCTAACACTATTTCTCCTTGTACATTCTTATGTAATGAGACACACGTATTCAGGATTTACATTTAGGTAATGATTTAGTGTGCATGATTTAGAAAGTGTGTAAGATTCACCCAGAGAGTGGTGAGCCTGTGGAATTCATTACTACAGGAAGTAGTTGATGCCAAAACATTGAATGTATTCAAAAGGCGACTAGATATAGCACTTGGGACGAATGGGATCAAAGGTTATGGGGAGAAAGCAGGATCAGGCTATTGAGTTGGATGATCAGCCATGATTGTGAAGAACGGCAGAGCAGGCTGGCAGGGCCAAATGGCCTCCTCCTGTTCCTACCTTCTATGTTTCTATGATTATCATATAGTGAGGTCAACTGCATACAGTTCACATCTAAGTGAGGTGTACTCTGTTAATCATCGTATTGTGATGTGGATCACATAGACGTCACATATAGTAAGGTGGACTGTGTAAGGTTCAGATTTAGTGAGGTGGACAATGTGGGATTCATATTTAATGAGGTGGACTGCATATACTGTATGAGTTGTAGCAACTGCGAAAATTGCATCTTGATCATTAACAGGCTCTGTAAGGTCAGTATGCGAATGTTTTTAATAACTGTCACCATGAATGCTTAATGCATTTTCTGTTCTTGATTGGTGTGCCTGCATCTCCTTAGTTTCAAAACACAATTCTAAACCATAACTCACACTAAAATTAAACATTAATCGTTCTGGTCAATATCCATTCTCATGCTTTCTAGTAATAAGAAAAATATGGAGCAAGACAGAATTCATCCCTTTTCCTGTGTTTCCCAGCAACTTGTGATTCCATCAGTTAGTTTTATCACTCTAATGCAGTTTGACACTTACCTTGTACAGAATTAAAATAATCAAAAATAGAAGCAGGATTCCACCAACTGTGCTTCCAGCCACCACAGGGATAGCATTAAAGACTGGAGTATTTACAATGGTCACGTGCATCTAAAGAGTAAATAATGAACATCGGTTACAAGTTATTCAACTTTTATCAGAAAAAATGTGTTTTAAAGGGGCTATTTTCCAGGGAAGAGAGACAAAGATCAACAATGCCCAGGTCTGTGAAATTCCTAACTAACTGAGCCAATTGCCGATGCATAAAACAAGTGCAGGTTATATGCTGCCATGCTAATGAGGATGCAGTCGATGTTCCAATCCATCTTGCCTCATTCTTCATTCCAACAATGCAATACTTGAAATCAATGACCTTTAACTCACTCTCTAAAATCATTGAGTACAGAAGCAGCCCTTCAGCCAATTCCGTCTATACCGCCAAAAACATACTACTACCTACACTACCCCAAGCCTACCCCAGCTCAGAGCCTCCCTCTCCCAGACCTGCAAAGGACTTCTTATGTTTTCCGTTCTTTGCAGGATCCACAAAACCCCATTTCTGAAGAAGGGTCCCAACCCAAAACATCAACTTTTCTGCTCCTCTGATGCTGCCTGGCCTGCTGTGTTCCTCCAGCTCCACACTGTGTTATCTACTACCTATACTAGGCCCATTTTCCTGCACTAAGCCCATTGCCTTGAATGTTATGACATTTCAGGTGCTTATCCAAGTACTCTTTAATGGTTGTAAGGTTTCCCACCTCAACTCCCCTCCCAGTCAGTGCATTTCATTTGGCCACCACTCTGAGTAAAAAGACTTTTCCTTAAATCTCCTTAAAACTCCTTTCACTTCAAAATTATGCCCCCTCATTATTGCCCCTTCGACTAAGGGGAACAGCTGTTTTCTGTTCACCCTGTCCATGCCCCTCATAATCTTATACTCATCTATCAGGATCCCCTCATCCTTCTCTGCTAACCATGGAACCACTGTCGCTCCCAAATATTTTCAGCATATTTTGCGGATATGCCAGAAGTCAAGAAGGGAATATTTATTGCATATATCTAGGTCTTTGGATACAACAGAGTTGAAAGGATGGGAAGTGGCGAATGGGAGTGGGATGTTCCCTCTAAGCTATGAAGCTGTACGACGTGTATGTCCCTAGGCAAGAACTGCACAAGTCAGTTCTTCTAAGTCTCCATGCATGCGTTAAAGAGGAAATTGGGAAAGCACGATCACTTTGTCAGCATCTTGTGGCCTGCTGCAGTGCTCCAGCGAGGCTCAATGCAAGCTGAAAGAACATTTCATTTTCTGCTTGGAATACTTACAGCCTTCAGGATTCAATATTGGTTCAATAATTTTAGAGCATGAACACCTTCTTTCACCCACCCACTCATAGTCCCCAAGCTTTTTCTTTTTCCCTGGTTTAATGTCAACAATCCTTTTGTCTGAGATAGTAGAAACTGCAGATGCTGGAGAATCCGAGACAACAAGGTGCAGGGCTGGATGAACACAGCAAGCCAAGCAGCATCATAGGAGCAGAAAGGCTGACGTTTCGGGCCTAGACCCTTCATCAGAAATGGGGGAGGGGAAGGGGGTTCTGAAATAAATAGGGAGAGAGGGGGAGGCGGATAGAAGATGGATAGAGGAGAGGATAGGTGGAGAGGAAACAGACAGGTCGAAGAGGCGGGGATAGAGCCAGTAAAGGTGAGTGTAGGTGGGGAGTTAGGGAGGGGATAGGTCAGTCCAGGGAGGACGGACAGGTCAAGGGGGCGGGATGAGGTTAGTAGGTAGGAGATGGGGGTGCGGCTTGAGGTGGGAGGAGGGGATAGGTGGGAAGAAGAACAGGTTAGGGAGGCGGAGACGAGCTGGGCTGGTTTTGGGATGCGGTAGCGGGAGGGGAGTATGGTGCACTGACCTCTACATCGCCGAGGCCAGACACCAACTCTCCGACACCTCCTCCTACCGCCCCCTTGATCATGACCCCACCCCTGACCACCAAACCATCATCTCCCAAACCATCCACAACCTCATCACCTCAGGTGACCTCCCACCCATGGCCTCCAACCTCATCGTTCCCCAAACCCGCACCGCCCGCTTCTATCTCCTTCCCAAAATCCACAAACCTGACTGCCCTGGTCAACCCATTGTCTCCGTCTGCTCCTGCCCCACTGAACTTATCTCCAACTATCTGGACTCCATTTTCTCCCCCTTGGTCCAGGAACTCCCTACCTACGTCCATGACACCACCCACGCCCTCCACCTCCTCCAGAACTTCCAATTCCCCGGTCCCCAACAACTCATCTTTACCATGGACGTCCAGTCCCTATACACCTGCATTCCCCATACAGATGGCCTAAAGGCCGTCCATTTCTTCCTGTCCCGCAGGCCCGACCAGTCCCCCTCCACTGACACCCTCATTCACTTAGCTGAACTCGTCCTCACCCTCAACAACTTCTCTTGCAATTCCTCCCAATTCCTACAGACAAAGGGGATGGCCATGGGTATCCACATGGGACCAGGCTATGCCTGCCTCTTTTGTAGGTTACGTGGAACAATCCCTCTTCCGTACCTACACTGGCCCTAAACCCCACCTCTTCCTCCGTTACATTGATGACTGTATCGACGCCGCCTCGTACTCCCACGAGGAGCTCGAACAGTTCATCAACTTCACCAACACCTTCCACCCCCAACCTTAAGTTCACCTGGACCATCTCTAATACCTCCCTCTCCTTCCTGGACCTCTTTGTCTCCATCTCGGGCAACCACCTAGAAACCGATATCCATTTCAAGCCCACCGACTCCCACAGCTACCTAGAATACACATCCTCCCACCCACCGTCCTGCAAAAATGCCATCCCCTATTCCCAATTCCTTCGCCTCCGCTGCATTTGCTCCCAGGATGAGGCATTCCACTCCCGTACATCTCAGACGTCCTCGTTTTTCAAGGACCACAACATCCCCCGCTCAGTGGTCGAGAACGCCCTCAACCGTGTCTCCCACATTTCCCGCAACTCATCCCTCACACTCCGTCCCCGCAATAACAACCAAAAAAGAATCCCCCTTGTCCTCACGTACCACCCCACCAACATCCGGATCCAATGCATCATCCTCCAACACTTCCACCATCTGCAATCCGACCCCACCACCAAAGACATCTTTCCCTCCCCACCCTTATCTGCTTTCCGGAGGGACCACTCTCGCCGTGACTCCCTTGTCCGCTCCACACTCCCCTCCAGCCCCACCACACCCGGCACTTTTCCCTGCAACCGCAGGAAGTGCTACACCTGCCCCCATACCTCCTCCCTCACCCCCATCCCAGGCCCCAAGAAGACTTTCCACATCAAGCAGATGTTCACCTGCACATCTGCCAATGTGGTATACTGCATCCGCTGTACCCGTTGTGGCCTCCTCTACATCGGGGAAACCAAGCGTAGGCTCGGGGACCACTTTGCAGAACGCCTACGCTCGGTTCGCAATAAACAACTGCACCTCCCAGTCGCGAACCATTTCAACTCCCCCTCCCATTCCTCAGATGACATGTCCATCCTGGGCCTCCTGCAGTGCCACAACGATGCCACCCGAAGGTTGCAGGAACAGCAACTCATATTCCGCTTGGGAACCCTGCAGCCCAATGGTATCAATTTGGATTTCACAAGCTTCAAAATCTCCCCTCTCCCTACCGCATCCCAAAACCAGCCCAGCTCATCCCCGCCTCCCTAACCTGTCCTTCCTCGCACCTATCCCCTCCTCCCACCTCAAGCCGCACTCCCATCTCCTACCTACTAACCTCATCCTGCCCCCTTGACCTGTCCATCCTCCCTGCACAATCCTTTTGTCTGCTTAACTTTTCTTCTTTCTTTCTGTCTGGGCTTCCTTTCTCCTCTCCACGCTTCCCCCCCTCCCCCATTCCCACCTCATCAACATAACTACCATTTTTCCCCAGCCACTATCAGTTCTGATAGTTCTGATCACTGGGCTCAAAACTCTAATTCTGTTTTCTCTCCACAGATACTGCCAGATCTACTGAGTTGCACCAGCAATTTCTGTTTTCTTTCAGATCTCCAGCAACCACAGTTCTTTGTTTTATATCATCACCTTATTTCTGCATCAGGTACACTGAAAAGTTCATGTCAATACAGTGTTAAGTGCAGGTTGTGGAGTAAATGGATTTTGTGCTTTACCTTAACACTGTGTGGTACATCTTTAGCATCAGACGTTTCCTGATATCGATTCTCATCAAAGTCAACAATTCCTGAGATCACAATATTAGCCCTGTCCTTCACAAGCTGAAGAGGGAAAGGTAAATTTAAAGAAGAGTCAAACATTTGAGAAGTAAAATAAGAATTAGTACAACATAAAATATAATAACAAGTTTGACTATTCAACATAGCAACATTCAACAACTTCAACTACATTTAACTTAAATCACAATCTTCTCGCTGGTTGATGTGTTTCATTCAGGCCAGATTCAAAGCAACAGCAAAAAAAAAGGAAACACGTACAAATCTATGACACTTAGCATAATATAGTCCACACTCGGGAGTGGATACTTGTACGAAAGTGTCACCAGCATTCAGTACTTTGTATTTGTTGAACTTTGTGCAGTTTTGGATACTACAGCCACTGTGAAATGCACACCAAGTATTGGGGTCCCATACTGTACTACTCCCACACCCAGTACTGGATGTCTGCATCATAAGACCCAGGGCAATCACCATTAGATACTTTTAGGAAAATGTCCCTCATACTCCATATTAGATACATGTACAAAACTGCCCAGTTTTAGGTACCTGTACTATGGTGCTTGCACTCCCCAATGGATATGTATACCATAATGCCTGTATACACAGTACTAGAAATCTGAATTATAGTTTCCAAGCATTCGGTACTGGACATCTGTAACATAGTACCTGCACACCCTGTACTGAGAACATGTGCCATTGCACTCAGCGATTCATACACCTATATCCACATTTTCAATTAGCATTTAAAGACCTCAAAGATTCACAAGGATTTTAATGTAAATCTATCACTAAGTGCAAACATCAGTTTCCACCTTTCCTTTCTGGACTTTTGCCTGCCCAGAAGACACCACCCCATTGTATTTAAGGGCTGAAAGTTTTCCACAAAGTCCTACGAGCATCATCTGCTTTCTGCATGAGTCATAAAGAGACCTGAATTTTTAATTCTGACACTCACCGCTGGATACCTATATCAGTGTTCAGCACTAGATACTGGTAGATTAAGACTCTAGCAGTTTTCATTATAAACTTAGTTTGGAAATGCTGGGTCTGAGATAGCAAGAACTGCAGATACTGGAGTCAGAGTCAATACAGTGTGGAGCTGAGGGAACACAGCAGGTCAGGCAGCATCAGAGAAGCAGGAAAGTTAATGTTTTGTGTCAGGACCCTTCATCAGGACATTCTGATGAAGTGTCCCAATCCAAAACATTGGCTTTCCTGCTCCTGTGATGCTGCCTAACCTGCTGTGTTCCTTCAGCTGCACACTGTATTGACTGGGGTTGTTCCGCTTGGAGCAAAGGATCCTGAGGTGCAATTATGGAAGCGTACAAAATTACAGGTTTTGATCAGGTAGAGAAGGAAGGGTACTTCCCATTACTTTTAATTTTTTGATTTCTTCATGGGATTTGGGTGTCACTAGCTGGGCCGGCATTTCTTGCCAGTTCTTAAATGTCATGGAGAAGGTGGTAGTGAGCTGCTTTCTTAGACTGCTGCAGTCATTTGGGTGTAGGGAGATCCACAGTAAAGGAAAAGGGGCCTGAGATTTTGACATAGTGACAGTGAAGGAATGGCGATATAGTTCCAAGTCAGGATGGTGTGTGGCTTGCAGGGGAACTCAAAATTGTGGCTTTCCCATGCATGCACTTGCACTTCAAGGTGGTAGAGGTTACAGGTTTGGAAGATGTTATCAAAGGAGCATGGGTAAGTTACTGCAGAGTATCTTGTGGACGTTATATATGTTTACCACTATGCATTGGTGGTGAAGAGAGTGAATGTTGAAAGCAGTGGATGTGGTGCCAATCAAGCAAGCTGCTTTATCCAAACTTCAATTGTTTTCACCAGAGCATCGGAGACTGAGGGGCAACCTGATTGAAGGATATAAAATTATGAGAGGCATGGATAAGGTGGATAGTCAAAGTCTTTTTCCCAGGATGTAGATGTTAAATATTAGGGACCATAGATTTAAGTTGAGAGGGGGAAAGGTTTTTGCACAGAAGTTGGTAAGTCGCCTGGAAATGTGCTGACAGGGGAGGTGGTAGAAACAGATGCAATAGCAATGCTTATAAGGCATTTAGACAGGCAGAGAGTAGAGGGATATGGACAATGAGCAAACAGATGGAATTAGTTTAGAATGGCATTATTGTTGGCAAAGACATAGTGGGCAGAAGGGTCTGTTACTGTGCTGTACTGTTCAGGATGATGAAGCTCATTCATTGTTGATGGATCTGCACCCATTCAGGCAAAGGGGGAGAATTTGACTCTTATCTTATGCATCATAGATGGTGGACTGGCATCATGGAGTCAGATTTCTCAGCTTCTAACTGGCTGTTGAAGCACTGTATTTATATAGAATCATAAAATCCCTACAGTGTGGAAGCAGGCCATTCAGCCCATCGAGTCAACACTGACCCTCCGAAGACCAGCCCACTCAGACCCACCCCCTACCCAACCCTGTAAACCTGCACTTCACATGGCTAATCCATCTAGCCTGCCCGTGTTTGGATTGTGGGAGGAAACCAAAGCGCCCAGAGGAAACCCCCACAGACACGGGGAGAACATGCGAACTCCACACAGACGGTTGTCCAAGGGTGGAATTGAACCCACGGCCCTGGTGCTGTGAGGCAGCAGTGATAGCCACTGTGCCATCATGCCACCATATGACTTGCCCAGTTCTGTTTTTAATCAATGATAACACCCAAGACATTGATAGTGGTGGATTCAATGATGAATGTTGAACATTAAGAGGGACGGTTAGATGTTTTCTTCAATCTTCATTTGGGCTAGTTATAACTCAAGCTAGTAGAGAATCTTCCCACTGATTCCCATTGACACCAGTTTTGCAAGGTCTATACAGTAAACGTACAAGTATTAGATAGAACAACGTGATTCCACAGGAATAGATCTAAGACTGCAGTCACATCCCTTTTGGAATGGTAGTGGAGAATTAAATAATTGAGTGGAGGAGTAAGTTCCACAAATATCCCCACTGTCAATGATGGAATAGTTCAGGACACCAATCCAAAAGATAAAACTTGAGCATTCGCCACAATCTTCAGAAAAATGCCAAAAAGAAATTCATCTCAGCTTCTTCCAGAGGGTCCCAACATTGCAAAGGTCAGTCTTCAGGCAATTCGATTCATGCTACATGACATCAGGAAATAGCTGGAGACAATCGAAACTACAAAGAATATGAGACCTGACAACATTCTAGGAATAGTATGAAGACTTGTGCTCCCCTAGCCAAGCTGTTCTAGTACAGCTACAATACTGGCATCTACCTGAAGATATGATAAATTGCCTACTTATGTCCTGTACAGAAAAATCAGGACAAATCCAAACCAGCCAATTACTGCCCCATCAGTCTACTCTCAATCTTCAGCAAAATGCTAGAAAACTGGAGGTTACTATTGACAAGAAACTGAACTAGCCATATAAATACTGTGGGTCAGAGCAGGTCAGAGTCTTAGAATCTAGCAGTGGGTAACTCATTCCTGACTCCCCAAAGCCTGTCCACCCTCTACGAGGCAGAAGTCAGGTGTGTGACCTTCACTAAAGCTCCTTAGGCAGCACCTTCTAAATCCCTGATCATTACTATGGTTCAACAGTGCTATCAAGCAGCACTTGCTTAGTAATAACTTGCTCACTAATGCTCATTTTGTGTTCTGCCAGGGTCACTCAGCTCCTGACTTTATTTTAGCCTTGGTTCAAACATGGACAAAAGAGCTGAATTCCGGAGATGAGGTGAGAGTGACAGCCCTTTATATCAAGGCTATATTTTACAAAGTATGACATCAAGGGTCCCTTGCAAAACTAGGGTCAATGAAAATGTTGGGGAAAGCTATTGCTAGTTATTTATACCTGGCACATAGGCAGATGGCTGTAGATGTTGGAGGTCAGTCATCTCAGCTCCAGGTTATCTCAGTAGGTGTTCCTCAGGGTAGATATTTTGTAATCAACCTGTTCAAAGATGTTATGACACACCTCTGAAACAAGTGGCACTTGAACCTGGTTTTTCTGGCTCAGAGGCAAGGACAGTGTCACTTCGCCACAAGATTCCTTGTGCCTCAGGGTATTGTTCTAAGCTCAATCATATAAATTGCTTCATTAATGACCATCCCTCCATCGTAAAGTCAAAAGTGGGGATGTTTACTGTTGATTGCATTATGCTCAGTGTAATTCACGACTCATCAGATACTGAAACAATATCTAAACACTGCAAGATCTGGACAATAGCCAGGTTGGGCTGACAAATGGTAAGTAACAGTCACACCACACAAATGCCAGGCAATGACCATCTCTAACAACAGACGATCTAACCATCATTCCCTGACATTCAACGGCATTACCATTGCTGAAGCCCTCACTTCGACATGTTCAATAGTGTCCCCCACATAGAACATAGAACATAAAACAGTACAGCACAGTACAGGCCCTTCGTTCCACGATGTTGTGCCGAACTTTACCCTAATTCTAAGGTCTATCTAACCTCCACTGCTACCTTATACTATCATCCATATGCCTATCTAATAGCCGCTTAAATGTCCCTAATGAGGCCAACTCCACTACCCTCTCCGGCAATGTATTCCACGCCCCTACCACTCTGAGTAAAGAACTTACCTCTGACATCTCCCCTATATCTACCTCTACTCACTTTAAAACTATGCTCCCTCGCAATAGCTACCTCCACCCATGGAGTGCTAGACAATTGTACCAGACCTCCTAGTGCTGGATTCCTGCACAATAATGTCCTATACACGCAACTTGTACTGCAGTATGTAATATATTCAGTACTGGATAACTGTCTTATAGAGTCTCCCATAATTAGTACTAAATACTGTCCTGGAGTAGTCAGCACATTCAGTGCTGGATGCTAAGGTCTGTGATGAAAATAAAATTAGAAAAAGGATTAGATAGTTAAAATGAAGAGAGATTCTGGTGTTTTGTATCATAAATTAATTCAAATTTTACCTGTTTTAAATTGTTCACTAGCAACCGTGCTGTTAGATCAATGTCTTGTTTTGCTGCTGTGAGTTCACACTGAAAATGCTGACATTCACATCCCTGCGTGTCACAGTCCTATGAGAGACCAAAATATAAATGGAGCTCATAAATGACAAATCCATAGAAATAAGCAATTGTGCTGTTGCCAACTCTTCAACTGGAACATTTATTTTGTTAATTCTTGGATCACTCTTCAATCCCGGGGCACTAGTTTGCCTCCAGCAGCCATGGCCTCCATTGTGACACTGCTAAGCATAAGAGATGTGGTCTCTTATTATTTGACAGCTCCAAGTAGGAAAGACTTCAGTCCCAGAATCTTGATTCCAGGCTCACTGTTGGACTCACCACTACTTGATTAGCTTGTGGTATACAGAATCTCCAAACTGTTACAGTGCACAAGGAAGTCATTCAGTCCACAATGCCTGCATAGCTCTTTGAACATTTTAACTTGGTGCCAATCTCCTGCCTTTTCCCAATAACCCTCTGTGTTATCTTTTATTTAAGTAATCATCCAGTACCCTCTTGAATGCCTCAAGTGAATATACTTCCACGACATTGCGTAAAAAGATTTTCTCACTTTGCATTTTCCTCTTTTGCAAAATGATTTAAAATTTTCCCCACTGGTTCTCAATCCATTTACAACTGGGTACAGTTTCTTCCTATACACTCATGATTTTGAAAACTTGTAACAAAATTAGCAGGGCTTACCCAGAAGAGGCAGTGGGGATCTCTCACTTTGACCACTGATGCGTCAACTAGATTCACATATAACAGTTGAGGACATAGCATTAACTACATTTAAGAGGAAGTTAGAAATAAAGAAAGCCATGATTTATCTCACCTTTTATGACTCCAGAAGGTCCCTAGTGTTTTACAGTTAATGACGTATTTTTGAAGTGCAATCACTTGATGCATGATACTTGGCAGCCAATTTGCACATAGCATGATCTCAAAATCAATGATATGGTAATGAGCAGATGATCTGTTCTTGTGACTTTGATTGAAAGATAAATATTGAGATTGTATAAACCTACCCACCACCCTCTTACAAATAGTTCCCTACACCATCGACCCTGCTCATCCTCCCACCTCTTCACCTTTTCTCCCTTCCAATCTCCTTTCATCCTTTCCTTATTCCCAAACACTTCACCCCTTCTCCTGATATCATTCTTATCTCATAAAACCCCTCCTTTCCTCCCAGGAATCCCGCTAATTTATTTTGCATCTGTATACTTTCCGTTTCAATCCCCTTTTCTGGCACCTTAAACCAACCTCTCCCTTCCCCATATAATCAGGGTTTTAGATATCAGGAAAGATTAGAGAAATTGGGCTTATTCTCCTTGGAGCAGAGAAAATTAAGAGGTGACATAATAGAGATGTTCAAAATGATGAATAATTTGGACAGGATAAAGAAGGATATTCTGTTTCAACTCGTTGGTATGTTAGTAAGTAGGAATCACAACCTTGAGATTGTCAGCAAGAGAACTAGCAGTGAGATATGGATAAACTTCTTTATTCAGCGAGTTGTTAGGATTTGGAATTCACTGCCTGGGAGAGTGGTGGAGGTGAATTCCATAAGAGGTTTCAAAAGGAAGCTGGATATATATTTGAAAGTCTTGAATTTACAGGGCTACCAAGATAGAGCTAAAGAGTGGAACAAACTGGGTAGCTCTTTTGGGAGCTGGTACAGATCCGATCGATCAAACGGCCTCCTTCTATGCTGTAAAATTCAATGATTCAATGTCCACATTATGTATAGTGACTGTTTTAAAAATAACCTAACAAAGATCACTGCTATAATGATGTGACTGTCCTAGCAATAGCTTTCTGAAAACGTCTCCAAAGTCAATGTCCGCCAAACAATCAATATTGGATTCCTGCTGTGATGAGTCTGAAATGCTAATAATTGGGCTATAATCTGCTACAGGGAAGGTAATCTCCAAGAAAAAAACTCTTACACAATAGAATTAGAAGATATACCCATTGTGCAGGAAGATATGTTCATGACTTGTGTTTCAATCCCTGGAATAGACCATAGAAAAGTAACTAACTGCAATGCAAGCCTTTGTCTTGATGGTGACCCCTTCAGGAGGCTTGGTTGCATGACTTCCACAGTCTGGAACCATCCACCCATTTAAACCATACAATTTTGAAATAGCAGACAGTCTAGAAACCAGCACAGTTAATCAACATCTACTGAATAATCAACGACCCTCACTCTGGGCTACAAAGAAAAAATCTCTTGCCTGTAAAAACCAGTCATGACCCTTTTGCAAACTAAACCCTCCTTTCTTCAAAATTGTGAAATAGAGTCACATTTCTACAAAACCTCCTCAGGAGACTTTTGAAAGGATTTCTTAAAAGAGAGGAAATTATCTACAACTCCTCAAATGCTAGCTAACCAATCAACTGGAAATTCCAGACAGCTAACTCTGACTTTGGACTTTTAAACTGTATCTTAAAAACAAAAACTTTGATAAGATGAAAATCCTTTCTTGTTTTATGTTTTGGTCATTATTAATTGAATAATCTCCTTGTCAGTTTCGATTCTATATCCCCCAATATATTTGTAAATAAGTATTTCTGTGGTAAGATCCTTGCTACATATGTATGGAATTAACTTGATTTCTGATTTAACATCACACAGCATTACTGTGTTCCTTGTAAAGTCAGAGACCACAAAATGAGGGGTAATACAACCTCAGTCTTAATAAGTAAAAGGGGAAAAAGTAAATAACTAACTGCTTAGGGGTAAGGAGTGAATTTTAAATCCATGTCCAAAGGGACGTACTTAGTTTGTACTTCTGGATTACAACTCCAGTGACATTACCTCCCTGCTGGCTTGTACTACAGTGATATTGCACACATTCATTTTAGTCTATGGAAATTATTACTAACTTTACTAGGAGTGCAGACTGGAGCATTTATCCCATACTGTTCCCACAACATAGCAGCTGAGGATCAGAAATCCATTTTACAGCAGCATAATAGAAGAAAATGGATTAGTTAATGATAGGCAGCATGGTTTCGTACAGGGAAGGTCATGTCTCACCAACCTGATCGAATTCTTTGAAGAGATGACAAAGATAATTAACAAGGGAAGAGCTGTGGATGTAGTTTATATGGACTTTAGTAAGGCATTTGATAAAGTCCCACACGGCAGATTAAAATCACATGGGATTGGGGGTGGGCTGGCTAGATGGATACAAAACTGGCTTGGTCATGGAAGACAGAGGGTAGTGGTGGAAGCGACTTTTTCAGAATGGAGCCTGGTAACTAGTAGTGCTCCACAGGGATCAATCTTAGGTCCTGTGTTGTTTGTAGTACAGATAAATGATCTGGAGGAAAATGTGGATGGTCTGATTAGTAAGTTTGCAGATGACACAATGATTGGTGGAGTTGTTGATAGTGTCGACGATTGTAAAATAATACAACAGCGTATAGATAGATTGGCGATTTGGGCACAGAAATGGCAGATGGAGTTTAATCCAGACAAATGTGAGGTGATACATTTTGGAGGATCAAATTTAGGTGTGAATTGTATTGTTAATGGCAGAGCCCTTAGGAACATTAACATATGGACAGATCTGGGTGTGCAAGTCCCCAGTCCCCAACACAGGTGGCCAAGGTGATTAAGAAGGTATATGACATGCTTGCCTTCATCGGCTGGGGCATGGAATACAAGAGTTGACACAACATATTGCAGCTATATAAAACCTGCATTTGGAGTATTGTGTGCAGTTTTGGTCACCACACTACCCAAAGGACATGGAAACTTTGGATAGAGTGTGGAGACAGTTTCACGAGGATGTTGCCCAGTCTTGAGGGCATTAGCTATGAGGAAAGGTTAAAAAAAACTAGGATTGTTTTCACTGGAAAGACGGTGGCTGAGAGAAGACCTGATAGAGGTCTACAAACTTATGAGAGTCATAGATAGGATGGAGAGTTGGAGACATTTTCACACGGTTGAAGTTTCAATTACAAGGAGGCATAGGTTCAAGGAGAGAGGGGGAAAGTTTAAGGGAGATGAGCAAGGTAAGTTTTTCACACAGAGTGGTAGGAGCCTGGAATGCACTACCAGAGGAAGTGGTGGAAGCAGGCACGTTGGCGATACTTAAGAGGCATCTGGATGGTTACATGAATAGGGAGGGAATAGAGGGATACAGTCCGAATAAGGGCAGAAGGTTTGATTTTGGTTTAATCAGGACATGATGATCGGTACAGGCTTGGAGGGCTGAAGGGCCTGTTCCTGTGTCGTACTTCTCTTTTGTTCAATTTTCGAATCCATTCAAAGCGATTGATCATGAAAACTTTTGGGTGTAAACCTAGATGCGCTCCAAAGGGGCTCCATTCCCACCAGACAGGTTAAATTAAAACAGCCTGTGACATCAACATTTCAATGGGCTTCTGCACATTGGATACTCACAAGAGGCCATCTTGTTCTGAGATTTACTCCTCTAGAAAAGAGTCACAGTTTATCATAGATTATTTCTAAATTTGTTACAGTGTCCTTGGCTGAAGTCATTGTGAAGTTATGCACACAGACAGGAGTTCCAGCATTTCAGCATGATATGGCTATTGGATAATCTTGGGAGGTGGTGCTATATTTTCGTAAGAAGCTGATACTGTCAACATTATTCTATTTGGTGGAAGATAGCATACAAAGAGTTAGAAAATAATTCAAAGATACCCATTGATCTTTTCTTTTCTGTTCTGGCTGTTGTTTGACAATTTTCTGTGTTCTCAAACAATGTTTCAAAGGTTCCTGCGGAAAGAACAATCCATTTAGTTTCAGATTTCCAACCAAGTCTGACATCAGTCAATAAAATTAAGAATGGAATCTTTGTATATCCTCATTCGACTATTACCATCAAGCAAGTGCACCAGTCTGGTTCAATGAGGAGTTGAAAGACCAGCACCAGATAAACATTATAATGAAGTGCAAACCTAGTGAAGATACTACTTAGCCTAATTCGGAAAGATAGTGGAATGTGATCATCTACATTATGGGAATTGAATACAAAAGTAGGCAGGCTATGTTTCAGTTAAACAGGGCTCCAGTTAGACTATATCTGGAGCACTGTGCACAGTACTGGTCACCTTATTTAATTCAATACATTGGAGAAAGTTCAGAGAAACTTTACTACACTAAAACCTGAAATGGGTGACCTGTCTTTTGAGGGTGGGTTTTAAAGGCTATGTTTGATCCTCCTTAATTTAGGAGAGGAAGAGGTGACTTGAGGGTGGTGAGAAGGGGACTGCCTGTGAGATACTTCATGTATGCCTAGATTCTCTGCACAACTGCACACTGCCCTCAAGGTGACTGCGGAGGTGTAGAGACTGTCATACATGGACTTCTGAAATGCGCCTTTGCAAACGAAGTCTGGAGAGAGTTGCAGTGCTTTTTTATCAGAGTTTGTCCTGAGTAGAGTACTTTGTGTACTCTACAGGCTGTTTCCTGCGATACACACTGAGACAAACATCGACTGCACCTGGAGGACAATCAACTTGGTGAAAGACGCTTTTAATCTGCCTGAAACTTGTTGGTCTTCCAGAGCAAGGAGTTGACCTCAACTGAGTGTTGCAGACTGGCGTATTCCAAGGTCTTGGATTACGTGCTGAGGGACCCACTAAAGCTTGGGGCAGCTGCCACCAAGGTACAGTAGGGAAAGACCACCGTGTAAGGTCTTTTGGTGATCTTTCCGCTGAAGTTAAATGGGGGTTCGTTTAGTTATTGGATCCTCGTGGTGCCTCAAATGTATGTAAATATAGGCTTGTATAGGTAAGAAATGCCTTGGGTTTGTTTGGTCTATGTATGAAAAACTGTATAGAATTAAACTGCTCCAGTGACTATATATGTGCATAAAGATTTTGTTATGAATAAAGTATATTTTTGAATTTTTTTTTAAAAAGTGACTTGATTGAAACGTAAGATCCTGAGGGGTCTTGATGTGGAGACGAGTTTCCACTTTTGGGAGAATCTATAACTAGGGATGCGCTTTTTAAAAATAAGGCATCATTCATTTAAAATAGAGATGAGGCTTTTTTTTGGAACTCTCTTCCTGAAAAAGTGGTAGAAGCAGAGTCCTTGAATATTTTTAAGGCAGACTTAGAAAGATTAGTGAGGTAGACAAAAATGTGGATTTAAGGTTCTACTCAGAGTAGCTACAATCTTATTAAACAGCTAGGCAGTCTTGAGGGGCTGAATGGTCTACTCTAATCATATGTTTATACACCAGACTGCCTGCATATTAAACTGTGAGGGAGCACATGATAGCTGTGCTATTCCAACAGTTCAGAAGAAATGGTGGTAAACAATTAAACGACAAATCAGACAGACAAACAGGAGGTTGGAAGAACACAGCAAACCAGGCAGCATCTGGAGGAAAGGAGAAGTCAACGTTTCAGGTATTACCATTCTTGAGGACTGGATGTGGGGAGTAGGGGGAGCTGCAGATAGAGGGGAGGGGAGGGGTAGAGGCAGAATGGTGGTGATAGGTGGACACTGGTAGTAGGACAACCTGGTTGGTCAACGGGAAGGATGAATCCAGTTTCATCTTTAATTGCTTCAACAATGTCCTTCCCTCCATCACAAGAAAATTATGAGTATTTGCTGCAATGGCACAATTTTCAACACCATTTGTAACTCCAGTTCATGCCAGCCTGGAAAACATCCAACAAGTGAGAATCTAATTGTTGGTACCTTCCCTTACCAGAAACAGGACACAACCAGTCATATAAATATTATGGCTGCAATAGTAGGTCAAAGGTTGAAAACCTGTGGTCATTGAATCAGCAAAACTTGCCTACCATCTACAAGACACATGTCAGGACTGGGATATTTTCCACTTGTGCATGAATGAAGCTCCAATAACACTCAAGAATCTAAACACTATCCAGAAAAAGTCGATTTGATTGGTACTTCACCCATTACCATTAGCTTTCATTCTCCCACAGCAGCAACTCACCAAGACACCTTTGAGAGTAACTTCCAAACCCACAACCTCTACTGCACAGAATAACGAAGATTGCAGAAGCAGAAAAAAACACCATCACCTGCAAGTTTCCCTCCAAATCACACACCATCCTGACTAATATAGAAACATAGGACTTACGATATAGAAGTAGACCATTTGGCCATGCAATAAGACCATGCCTGATCTGACTGCCATTTGGATTCCATTTTCCTGTCTGTCCCCAAAAGTCTTGACACATTAATCTATCAAAAATATATTTAATTCAATTTTGAATAAATGCAATCTCTCAGCCTATACTGCTTGTCAGGGTAGAGAATTTGACAAACTAATAACCCTCTGAAAGATATAAAATTCTCCTAATCTCCATTTGATAAGGTTAACCTCTTATTCCTAAACTATGTATCCTAATTCTAGTCTCCCCAAGAACAGAAAACACTCTTTTGGTGTCTCCTCCAAATTTTATATATTTCAATAGGGTTATTCATTTTTCTGAAGTCCAAAGGGTATGGGTCAAACCTGTTCAACATTTCCTCATAAGAAAAGCCATTCATCCAAAGATGGAACTATATTGTCATTGATTCACTGACAAATCCTGGAACTTCTACCCTATCAGAACTATTGGGTGGCCCTACACTACCGAAACTGTAGCAACTCAAGAAGGTTGCTCACCATTACCTTCTTAAGGGTAATTACGGATAGACAATAGTTGTTGGACTTGCCAGTGATATTCATATACTATGAATGAACAAAAATTTAAAACAGAAAAAAAATTTTGTACAATTATTTTTCTTTCTTCTTTACTCAACCCACCCCCTTTTATCTCTCTCCTGAAGTTATTTCATGGCTTTGAGGTGCTGGCGTCACTTTTTTTATTCACTTGTGTGAAATGGGCATCACTGGCCAGCATTTATTACCCATCCCTAGTTGCCACTTGAGAAGGTGGAGGTTATCTACTTTCTTGAACTGCTATAGTCCATGTATTATAAGTAGACCCACAATGCCCTTAGGAAGGGAATTCGATCCAGCCGCAATAGCAATTCATTTCCCAATCAGGATGGTGAGTGGCTTGGAGCAAACTTGAAAGTGGCAGTGTTCCCATGTATCTGCTCCCCTTTGTCCTTCTGGATGGTGATGGTCATGGGTTTGGAATGTTTTTTCGAAGGATCTTCAGTGAATTTTTGCAGTGCATCTTTTAGATGGTATGATGGTACGCTGCCGCTACTGAAGGATAGAACGTCAAGGGAATGGATATTTATGATGTGGTGCCAGTCAAGTGGGCTGTTTTGTCCTGGATGGTATCAAGCTTTTTGAGTGCTGTTGGAGCTGCACCCTTCTAGGCAACTGGAGATTTCTTCATCACACTGATGGTGAGATGGTGGGCAAGCTTTAGGGAGTCAGGAAGTGAGTTATTTGCTGTGATATTCCTCGCCCTCAGTTGGTGTAGTAGCCATTGTATTTGTATAGTAACCCCCAGGATGTTGGCAGTGGGGAATTCAGTGATGGTAACATCACTGAATGTCAAGGCATGGTGGGTGGATTCTCTCTTATTGGAGATGATCGTTGCTTGGCATTTACATTGTCTGAATATCATTTATCACTTTTCAACTCAAACCTGGATATTATCCAGATCTTGCTGCATTTGAACATGGACTGCTTCGGACTGCTAAGGAGTCACAAATGGTGCTGAACATTGTGCAATCACCTGTAAACGTCCTCATTTCTAACCTTAGTATGGAGAGAAGATAATTGATGAAGCAACTGAAGATATTTGGGCTTGGGAATCCTTGTAGAGATACCCTGGAGCTAAGATGACTGATCTCTAACAACCACAACTATCTTCCTATGAACCAGGTATGAATCCAATCAGCAGAGAGCTTTCCCCCGATTCCAATTGATTTTAGTTTTCCTAAAGCTCTTTGATGCCACTCTTGGTCAAATGCAACTTTGATGTTAAGGTCTGCCACTCTCACCTCTCCTCTGGAATTCAGCTGTTTAGTCCTTGTCTGAGCCAAGGTTGTAATGAAGTCAAGAACTGAGTCGCCCTGGTCTTGGTTGGTTGTTGGTTGTGCCACCACTTATCTCTGTCTATCACTTGCTAATTATGCTGTTCAGCATGCAATTAGCCCTGTTTTGTAGCTTCACCAGTGGACACCTCATTTTTAGGTATGCCTATGCTGCTCCCAGCAATGCATTCCTGCACTCTCCTGATCCCCTGGCTTGATGGTAATTCTTAAGTGGGGGATAAACCAGGCCATGAGATTACAGATTGTGTTGGAGTATAATTCTGCTGTTGATGGCCCACTGCATCTCACAGGTGCCCAGCTTTGAGCTGCTAGATCTGTTTGAAGTCTATCCCATTTAGCATGGTGATAGTGTCACACAACATGATGGAGGTTATTTTCACTGTGAAGGCGGGTCTTCATTTCCACAAGGACTGTCCACTTACTAATACTAATGCAGTTGGCAGATTAGTAAGAATGAAGTCAAGCATCCTTTTCCCTCTTGTTGCTTCCCTCACCACCTGCCACAGTCCTGGTCTAGCATCTGTGTTCTTTAGGATTCGAACAACCCAATTTTTCATTCTGCTGCCAAGCCAATCTTGGAAGTCGACATTGAAATGCCCCAACCAGAGTACACTTTGCCCCCTTGTCAATCTCAGTGTTTCCTCTAAGGGTTGTTCAACATGGGGGAATGCTGATTTATCAGCCTAAGGAAGGCAGCATGTGGTAATCAGCAGGAGGTTCCTGACCCATAATTGAGTTACTTACCCATCCCACTGGCATCCACA